AATATATGAGTAAAAAACAATCAAGTACTTTTACACATACACAGCCACAAGTCTATTATTCATATGTTAAATAATAAACAATAACATACTACTCTATAGATTCATATAGAAGTTTCAAGGAAAAAAAAATATCCCTGAGATATTCTTATTCACAAGTAGCACAATCAGAAGTATTTATGCTAGACAAAAAAAAAAAAACAAAGTTTTTGTAGTCAAAATATTTTGCTTGGTAGACCTTTAATGGTAAGACGCAACTGAAAGCTGGATAATTCATTGAATAATAACTAATATTTTCCTAATTCCGATCGATCTCTAGAATATATCAGAACCAATTGAAATTTTGTCGAGAGAACAAATGTAATTAACGATATGTCCAAAAGAATTTTTTTTTTTTTTTACATACCAATAAACATATATATATTTCATTAAGTATTGATACAATACAAAAACCAGTATTATAAATAAATATCATAGTTTGTGAAATATCTTATTAAATAATCTTTTGTTTGTTTTCTTTTTTTTTCAAAATAAGTCATCTATGAAAGATTTATTTTCCTTTTTAATAAATTATTCACTAAATTTTTTGAAATACATCTAAAATAAAATTGATATTAATGATGAAAAATAAAAAAAAAAAGAGAAAAACTATTCTCTATTAAAAAAATTATGCTGATATATATATATTTTGCTTGAAGAATAATTAGTTTGATAGAACTTAAATAGATATATTTTCTTTTTAATGAAGAATAAATCGATATGAAAAGTGTAGAATTCTTATTTATATTTAGCAACAATTATGAATTATAAGAAAAAAAATTCTTTTATTTTATGTTCTATAGGATTATTTAAAAATGAAAATAAAAATTCATTACTTATATAAAAGGATATTAATTATATCATTAAGTTTTTAAATTTTTTTTATTTATCAAAATGTTAAATAGAATGATTAAAATAGACTATGGTAAAATTTTATCTCATAATAAAACAAATAATATGGCAATCAACCAGGCTCGTTTATTATGTGAATAGAATGATAAAATAGATAGTCTAAAAGTTCTGACTAAAGTGATATTTGTCAGATAAGAAAAAGAAAGAGTTTAGGCATATATACAAAGAAAAATCATATATGTAATCTATTGCGTTGTCGTTATTGAAATAATGCTATTTTATATATACGGAGAAAATCATCGTTTAATATAGTTAGTTGAATTTACATAAAAAAAAAAGGTGTTATTAACAATTTTATGTCCTTTTTAATAGAAAAAAGTCTTGTTAATTAATTTTGTTTATTATTTTCATCTCCGCTTGTTAAACGTTTTCGACCTTTTTGTGGGATGTTTGATGTTATATCATGATTAACAATTTTCTTTCCTTCTAAGTGTTTAAGAAGACTTTGTAATTGTTCATATACATTTGGAACATCTAATTGTATATCTTCAATATCGTCAAATAAACGTAATATACCAGTTTTTAATTGATCATATGTAATAACAGTTGTTGTTGTTAATGTTTCAAGTAAAGATATTGTTAATTGTTCAGCACTGAAAATAGAATATTACGGTAAAAAAAAACAAAAAACATTTATTAGTAATTTAATTTTTCAACAAAGCAAATTTAACTGATAGATTCAGTTAATAGTTATATCTCAGATAGAATAAGTTATTTTATCTTGTCAATATTATAATAATTCTTTTAAATTTTCTTCTCTGATATTTATATAAACATTTTTTGAAATAGATTAAAATTCTATATATAAATAAATTAACTAACCGTTCAGTATTTTTTTCTAAACAAAAATCTATAAGTTCATAAACGAATTCATGAAAAAAATGTGGTACATTTAATTCTTGTAAACATCGTATTGTTTCATTTGCATCACCACTATCATAATATTCATGAATAATTAAATTCATTTTATCAGCTAATTCTCTAACAGGTCGAAAACCACCTAAAAATATTAAATATGTATTAATTTTAGTATTTGATCTTTTTTTTTTTTTTTCTCATTCGAACATACTTGATTGAGCTCCCCAAACATTATTAAGAAAATAAAAATCTTTCATTAATATAAGTGTTTCAGCTTTATCAAGAGCAATTTGCATTTTTGGACATTTAACATTGCCTTTATAACGAACAAAATATTTGTCATTAGTATTATCAATACACTTATCTGCAATTGACCGTGCAATGAATTTACCTTTAATACAAAAAGAAAATAAAATAAAAAAAAAATTTTTTTTTTTTTTTACCAATATCAGTTGAACATTCAGGATTATCAAGTGATAAATCAGTTAATGTTGTTAATAAAGCATTAAAACCATTAATGTAGTCATTTGCACGGAAAACAATACCATTAAGATCATGTAAAAGACGTGATATTAATTCTTTATGAACATTTGATTTTTCTAATGCTATTGTTATTATATAAGCAAGTAGTTCTCCATCTCCATGTTGTTTTAAATTAAATTTACGTAATGATTGTGCTACATCATTAGCATCACCATTAATAAAATATTCATCAATAATTGGTTTAATATCTTTATCAAAATTTTCAATTGATTTTAATTGATTTAGTTTTTTTTCTGTTGATGTTGTTGATGAATCAGTAATATATTTTTCTTTAGCTTGATTATATTGTAAATCTAATAAATCATCTTCATCAAAATCTTCATTATATTCATCAAGTATTTCAGAACCTAATGCGCCCCATGTATATTGTCCACCACCACCACCTTTTTTAGCTAAACCACGACCTTTTCCTATTGAAATAAAAGTGAATGATATTCATTAAAATAACAGTACTGTTGTTTCTTTTTTTCAAAAACAAACCTTGTCGTGATTTACGATCATTTTTCTTTGTAATTTTAGCATTTTTTTGCAATAAATGTTTATGCGCATCTGTTGGTGAGCCGACAAATTGTGTATTAGAATTTGATCCAGAATTTTGACGTATGTATACACGTTTACGTTCTGAAGATGTTGAAATTGCATCAGGACTACTACTTATATTAGTTGCATGTTTTTTATCATTATCTTTTGATGAACTTAATTGTGCAATAAGTGCATCTACTTCGGCTTTTTCATCACTTGTTGAACTCATACTTGTATGAATGTAAATATTTGAAAGTATTTTTAGTTATTTTTTACTTTTAAAACATGTCACCTGGATAAAACATTTCGTTTCTTTTAGTTTTTATTTGATGCGCAATTAAATAGGAAAGAAACATAAATATCTATATGTTGTAGAAATTTTTTGATTGATTGTTTTATAACAAATCAAACAATCTAAGTCATGTGTTTGAGAAAAATTAATTTGATTTTGTAAATCTTTAAAAAAGTTTGAGTAAAACTATAAGTAAATTATATACGGATTTTCTCAATTACAGTGTTTTTCTATTAATAGATGGCGCTATATGTTGGCTATGACAGATAGATTATAGTCTGTGCAAAAATAATGTACTCAATCAATTTTTACTTATAGATGTTAATGATTTACGTATTTTTCAATGATCGAAAGTATATAAATTGTACTATAGCAAAATATTTGAAAATTGAAAGTTTAACAAAAATTTGCATTTTATGAGAGTTCAGGATGAAGTATATGATATCCGTATATAATACAGAGTCATATAAACGCCAAAATACACGTGTTTGTTCAACTTGAGAGAGCGATACCAAGTGTGGCTCGCCAAATGATGCGATATTATATTCATAAATAGGTTTAGAGAAGACTAACAAAAACTTGTAAGAGCTCATTCATAGGCGCTAGTTTTTTACGCTATTATAATTTTAGTGAACTTTTTATTTGTAGAAGATATTTGTCAAAAGATTGAATTAGGAAACTTCAAGCTAAAATTTTATCTACAACGAACTTTTATATAAACACACAAAAACGATAAAAAAAAAGATAAATGAACTGCAATCATCATTTTTAAAAATCGATTATGAAACGGTCTTCTAATGTATGTTTTGCTTCGTTTATCCAAGATGAAAAAAAATATTTACACTTTGTGCTTTCAAGTCTCATTCAAACTTAATATTTTTATGAAATTCGAAGGTGTGAGATAAAATAATTCAAAAGAACTCGTCAAAAATTTTGCTATACTCTGTCACAACATCAAATTTTCCCTGGGAAATGACATTTCAGAAAGACTGCAAAACTATTGAATAATTTCATGAATACTCAAGAATTAGTAAATGGCCATTACTATGATCAGTAGTATCATAACGAGACATAGCGATAAATCATACCAACACAAAGCAATGAAGCTTCTAAAACTCTTAAAAAAATTTTTCTTGTAGAAAGTTACTGAGAACGTGAAGAAATAATGTACATTAGTAACAATACGTCACATCGTCGTAATTCTTCCAATACGGAACATGATTCGAATGATTGCATCGTCACAGTCATCGAGAACATTGTTTTGTTCATTGAATTTCTGGTCGCTATTTTAAATCTGACCAATGCACTATTCAATTTTTGTAGCTCTGATCTATACAACAGTTCATCGAACATGTTTGGATTTCAGCAGCAACTAACATTAATTTTATTCACAATTATCTTGCTTTTATATATGAATATTCGATATAACCAAATAAGACTTTTATAATTTTCTTATTAAAATCATGTTGGTTCTCTACAGCAAGATGTGATTCAAATAGTCACAGCCATGATAAGTATAGCTTTGTACAGGATTAATTTAATGTGTTCTTATTTTCATCATAAAAAATGCAAAAAAAGTCTTTTCCGTGACACTATACATCTATTATAATTTGAAGTCATCGGCGTGTTTATAAAAGTGTGGAGAAATCTTATTGGATTTTGATTGTCGAACAGAAAACGTTGTCGGAAGTATGAGAATGAAAAAGAAAAAGAAAAATAAATACATTGCATGAGAAAGAAAAAGCACACTATTTTTCTTTTTTTTTCCACATTGTGATAAAGGTTTAGATATGATATAGAGTTACATCTACGTAGAAGCAAAAATAAAAATATAACAATGGCATCTTCAGCTACTACAATCAATGATAAAACAGTGGAAAATCTCGTTAAATGTGCTATATGTTTAGATCTTTATAATGATCCACGTTGTCTTTCATGTTCACATACTTTCTGTTATCAATGTATTGAAAATTTGTGTAAACAAGGAATTAGTCAATGTCCTATGAGAGACAATACGTTTATACATCGATCTATGATTGATAAATTACCAGTTAATCGAATAGCTAAAGATCTTGTTGAATATATTTACAAATCTTCACAATCCAAATCTTCATTTTCATCACAAACAAAATGTGATCATTGTAAAAAAATTTTATCTGAATTTAACTGTAAAACTTGTTCAAAACATTTTTGTACAATATGTCTTAAAATTAAACATGATATAAATCAATTTAAAACTCATTCAATTAATGTTATTATCAATGACAATTTCAATAAGTTTTGTTCAGAACATATTGACGAAAAACTAAAATATTGGTGTAATCTTTGTCAGATACCTGTTTGTAGTGATTGTCTTTTATTTAAACACAAACATCATTCATTTGTTATATTGGACAATATTTTACAGAAAACAAAAATTCAACTTCATTCATCAGCACAACAACTAAGCTCAATAAAAGAAAATCTTGAAAAGTTAAATAAAAAGACTACAGAAGCTTATCATACTCATTATCAAACACATGTTAAAACAAAGAATCATATTGAACAAACAATAAATCAATTACAAACTCTTTTAGAAGAAAGAAAGGAATATTTAATTAATACAGTATTAAAAAATGATACTATTCAACAAAACATTATTCGAGCACAAAAAAGTGACATTGAAGATCATTTGAAGACTATTTTAATCAGAGAATTACTTACAAAACAAGTTTTGAATATCGAAGATGAATTTCAATTAGTCAAATTGAAAAATGATATTATCAATTACAATCAATTAATTCAAGGACAATGTGAACAACTAATGGATGGTTGTGCTTTTGATCTTCTACATTTTACTATCGATAGTAATTTATCAACAATACAACAAGAACTTCAAGATCTAGGTAGTATATCAAGAGAAACATTTTTAACTAATAGTACTGAGATTCGTCCATTACTAAAACTATCGGAATTATACGGTGATCAGAAATATGAAGAATTGCAAGGAACTTATGCTTATGGTTATCGTTTTCATTTAGCCCAACCATTAACATTAAATGCTATACAAGTTAAAGTGGCACTATTCAATTCTAATTTAAGCGTTTATATCTTAGATCATAATGATATTCTTGTCCAGAAAGAACTCATCAAGACAAGTGATAGACATTTAACAACATTGACATGGATAACTATTCCTATTACTTTTCAACTTCAACATAATTATTATATTTTTGTATGGACACAACCAAATTCAGAATCCTTACCATTAGTTGCCTGTAAAGACTCTACTCACAATTTACGTCAAATTAATCAACATGTTTCGGTGAGAAGTAAACGTGCTCAAATAAATAACTTGACAAATATCAATTTAAATACAAAGATTAATGTACTCTATGATGCACTTCTTTTTGATGATGAGCGAAATCCAACAGTACCAGCCATTGAAATGATTCTAGATATTTAGACTATAAATCATCATTTTTATTCATTTTATTATATATTCTTGAAACTACTTACAATCAATGTCTCCATAGTAATATTTTTGTTTCAATAATACTCGAGAAATAGCTCTTACTCAAGACTATTTTAATAAAGTTGATGTTCATTAACTTTAGTTTTTTTATGCTTTCTCCACAAAGATTTCTAATGTGATCATTAACACTTTGTCTTTGAATCGATTCACAGCCAGGAATTTTCACTTGAAAATATGATGTGATGGTTATTTCTTTAATGAATACTCCGATTGGCATTGATCCTAGTTAATAACAAGTTAAATATACCAATAGAAAATACTCTTTATGATAACCAATACATGCAATATCATGTGTTTTTGACTATTAATTTGCTCTAGCAATTCTCGGAGTGTATAGGGGAAAATGATCGCATACATATGTAGCTTTGAAAATTTGATTTGCGAGAAACATACCTTATATAAGTCATTCATGACTCGCTTTCATTATGAAATCTCTAGTTTTTTTCAGAATCACATGCTGGTTTAATCTAGAAACAGCTTTTATTATCTCACCCATGCAACTGCTGCAAAGCTAATAAAAGAAACGCTTCTCCAACATAATTCAATTACATTTGCTAGCAATATTTACCTGAACTAGTGTATATTGAGAAGAAGATTGGGAATTTTACCAAGGAAAAACATCTTTCTTTCAAAAGGATGCAAGGTGGATTTCGAATGTGCTGCAGAAGACCGAAAGGTATAATTCGGGATGTGAGTTTCAGGCTACACTTTTGAAAACGGGAACGTAAGTTGGGTTTTCGTTCTTAGTACGTAATGACCAACACGAAACGCAAAATAGGATACAGTTCCTGATTTCTCTAGAATACAATTAGATTTTTTGAGTGTGGGTGAAATGACAAATCACACATGCACTTAAGTACCGTGTCGTATCAGTTTGATCGTTGTAGCGCATTTTTAATTGTTTTAAATATTACTCATTGCCTTGACTATTTCTAACATAAATGGAAATATTGCTATTCTAAGAACACAATAAATATTTAAATGAGTAACTTTCATCCTAACATGATAGCAGAGTCAAGGTTTTTATCAGTGTTCAGTGATATCATAACAAACTAATAAAAAAAACATCGTAAAAAAACGGTTCACAATAAAGCATTGCAATAAATAATCCTTGCAAGACGATACTAGCATGAAACATTATCAAGAAAAAAGAATCTATTACAGTAGTACAAAGTAAACCATTAAGTAAAATTGGCAATAATATTACCAACACCAAGAATCGTAGAACAACGCAATGGTTCTGTTGTGAGAAATGATGTATACTTCCACTGAACATTGCCTGATACACTTAATAATGATTCATTTGGAACAGAGGAACCTCAGGAGATTTTGTATAGTCAGATGAGAGCCACCATATAAGACAGATTATATTGATAAACATTTCAATATTCTTTAAATAATTCAGAACACTAATCACTGTCCAAATAAAATGCAGGGAGTTCTTTCTCCGTCGATAGTTGCGACAGAAGCATCATGATTTTATTTGACTGAACCATTAAAATGAAGGTTTTTTGGAAGAACTTATTCAGCTACGTTCTTATTACCTTGGCTCAATTTTTGGAACGAATGAGGATCAAGATACACTGCTTTCTACCTGAAAAGGAGATAAAAAAGATTATTTAAACAAAATGAATCATGGAAATAGTTTAAAGTTTGCACAAGAAGAAAAATTATGAAATTCTCTCTGAAACATATAACATTCAAAGGTGATTATCAATTATCATCAGGAGATGTTTCACAAGTTGAAATGTACTTTATTGCCTTCGTACGGTACCTACATTTCTTTCTACTACGATTAAAATAAGAACTTTGATTATTTGTCATGTCTTTTTGACTAAATAATTGATCATTTACAAATTGTTGTATTCAGAAGCATTGAAACTTTTAAATATTTGCCATCACTAAAATATGATCGCGCAAAGTAAACCATTAACATATATATATAGATAGATAATCGATGCATGTGTATAATGTGAATACTATTGTGTACCGGCGTCGTCAATTTGCTCTTCTTCATTCGTTTATCTTATTTTTACTGACATTAACGACTTGGTGAAGAATGGTAATATTTTTAATAATTGATTGTATTGAATAAAACGTTCCAGCATACGATAGCAAGAGTTCCATCTCATTTCAAAATCTATTATGAAACCCTAAAATATTCAAAAAATATGTTTACAAGTGCTTACAAATATTAAAAAGTATAATGCTTGACGAGATTAATCATGTTATGAATTAAAAAAGAAATATTTAGAATCGAGTCATTTTATCTTACTGATTGTGCTATAAAAACTGTAGTTCTATATGATTGATGTAATAATAGTTATTAAGTGTTAGGAAATTGTCGCAAACAGTCATATTTTTGTATGGTATTTGCAGTGGTCACGTTGCAGAACTAATAAAATATTTGAAAGTAATTAAACAATCAATCATTATGGGCATCCTAACTTTTAAAAACATCGTAATCATCACTGAATTTGCTTGAACACATTTTTGAATAGAGAAGATATGGTGAAACTAAATAGTATGATGATGGAGTAACTATAAGCAGATATTTATTATAATTCTAAGTAGTAAAAAGCCTCAGTCACTTTGAATATCTAAAAAATTAGAAATTGTTGTAGCTCTACAAATTTTACTAATAATATATTAATTATAGAATTTTGAAAGACGATATGTTTCAATAGACAAAATTAACTACTTTGTATTTCAATTCAGTTTAAGTATGAAAAAGCATGTGCTTTTCTAAATAGAGTCAAGAAAAAGTGTTTCATGATAATTTCCTTGTTAAAAATCATCTCGTCCACTAGAAGTAGTTAAAGTCGCGCTCAATTAGTAAGTAATCTTGCGGTTTTATTCATCTCACGCTAAGTTAGCAAACAAATGCTATCCACTGCAACAAGATTTCACTTCCTTAGACCATATTTTTTCTGATTACCGGATCTATTCGCTCGGTGAATCAGAATTACGTACCAAGCCCATAAACTCACCTTACCATTTGATCAAAAAACAAATACGAATTACAGTTGGATCAATGAAAGTAATCGTTGAAATGCTACTCACAAGTTCTTCACCTTTCAAAAATGTTGAAGTATTATCTTCAATACTTTAAGTTTACATATAATTGACTGAATCGTCTCCGTCTTCATTAAAGTTATTATAAGGTGTTGCTGCTCTTCAGACATTTAATAATCATCAACAAAGACATCATCTTCAGCAGATGATTTATTAACACTTGGTTGATCATCCACGATGAATATCAATGCAGACCAAGTTAAGAGCCTACAAGAAAAAAAACTTCATAGAATACAACAGCTCAACAAGTGAAGATAACCATGAAAAACAACAGATATTTTGCATTATACAACACAGAACTTATTGTCAAATATCGCAGCATCCTGACAAATTGCATGATCGCCGGCTTATTTTTTGAACTACTCTTCCACTGAGGTTCGTACAACAGCTGAGTTTCGTGTGTTCATCGTTGATTAAAAATGAGATTCCACTGACTCAAACAAGTATTGATTGTTTTGTTAAAAATTTTATTCAATATAAACTGGTGACAGGAACTCAGATCAATTTTTATTGACTTGACTAGCATTTTTTATAAATAAGCTTGACTTTATCATGGATATTTTCGATTTCATTCAGTTTAATCTTCCTTCAAACAAATTTTATTATGTTAAAGTGAACTGTATATGCAAATAAATGACAGACATCAATCAAAAAACTTGTCTATAAATGAAAGACAATATGATTATTGAAGTGTAATGTACACTAATCAGAAGTGACGTTACCGATTTCTTGCTCAACAGTATTCATACGTATCACTGTGGAAAGTTCATTTCATTGATACAAAAATGTAAAATGATTATTATACTGAACGAAAGTAACCGTGTGCCAACACGAGAACCATCCCAAAACTTTTCGATTTTTGAACTGAGAAAGTCCAACAACAATATGATGAAGTTTCTGTTTTCATTTGCTGAATGATGCTGACAATCAAAAATATTAACACATGCATAAAAATTCTCGAGAAGCAGTTTTTGAATCTGTGTTCGAGTTGTGATCCAATACATTTCTTTCCATCAACTGTAGTACTTGATGAAGAAAGATAAAGACACCGTTGTTCGAATGACTGATAAAACGAATAGGTAAAGATCTTACTTAAAAAACAACTGCCCAGAGCCGTACTTGTCGAGAATATTCATGCATGAATTTTTCTAAAACCGAAAGACATATCAATACATAAAAAGTATCTGTCGCTAACTAGCTTCCTCACTATTTTTACAATTGGTAAAACTTTTGGAACATATTGTGAAAGATGATCGATTGAGAAACCACTCGAAACTTTGATTCTGACGAATTACTCCTTCATTAACAAACGCTTTTGATTTCAAGCAGATATAACCGAATGCTGTTCTTCTAAACCTATTTAATACAGTATTTGTCCAATTTGGTGCAGCTCGTCTTACGAATAGTCTAACATAAAAGATCGAACATCCGATAGAAACTCGGTATTTTCTATGACTTGTGTTTCTTTAATAACGAATATTGAATCGACACGACCATATTTCAGCCAAGCCTGTTGTGATTACTGTAGCACACTACATAGTTTTCACAGATAGCAATATTTTCAAAAAGAATTTAAAAGACTGCTAGTTTGACAGTCTGTGTAATAGTATATTTTAGAAGGATATTTCCTTCATGCAAAGGTATTTTCGGCTTGAGATAGACACAATCAGATGTATATCTTGCAAAATATCATACGTACTACTTATCAAATCCCGTGCAGTCCGTATTACATATTCCTTCGATATTTCAAAGATCTTCATGAAATCGGAGCTTTGTAGATTACAGGGATGCCACTGCCAGTGTGGGTCTTCTCTTCATCCTCGCTCATATGTATAGCCATATCCTTATTCCATTCCATTCGACGTCAATCTTTCATTTGTTCAGACGAATTCCATAGCTTTTTTGTTATTCATAGCTATGTTGGAAACATGGTAATTCATTTTATCCTATTGCAGTGACTAATGTTGACATGAAAACAAGTAAAGAACGAAAGTAAAATCACTGTGTATAGATGTGAAGAGAAAAGTGAATCAATTCACATAAAATAAATGTAATGCTTCGTTGTCAACACACGTGGAGGCCATTTTTTTATCTTTTCTTACACATCGATGAAAAAACACTTTAACTATGAGTTTCTTATATACAGAGTAACAAATAAGATATAATGGTTATTAAAAAATGAGCTATATATTGTTATACAAGCATAACAAAGCAGTAGGTCTCTAACTAACTAGTGCTTTGTTTTGCACTTATTTTATCGATGAAGTAAATCATCTAATATAATTCTAGATATCCACTTTTCGTTTTGTAAAAATATCGTGTAATCAAGTCATTTTTTTAGTTTTACATTATAAAAATGTTCCTTTCCATGTTTAGTTTGCAGCGGTGGTTTACAAATGAGAAGGTAAGAGAAAGTCTCAAATGTCAAACTCACGAGCAGTAACAGTCTATAATTTTCTCTAGCCTTTGTTCGATCACTACCCATTATCTATGTTTGAAGAGAATGCCGAACATTTGCCTACATCATACGGTCTGATCGTTTTGAACTACTCAAAGCCAAGCATTGACAAATGGTTAACAGAGTCAGTTTGGTCTAGAGCAAAGATTCGTGCTTGTGCTGATGGTGGAAGCAATGAATTACGACAGTTCACTCTTGAGAAAACAGAACAACGTCTTGGTCGTTTTACGCCCGATTTTATTAGTGGTGATTTCGATTCAATCAAGCCTGAAACACAACAATTGTATGAAGAGGAATTCAAGGTACCTCTTATTGAAACTAAAGATCAAGATGCAACTGATTTCACAAAATGCCTAGAAGAATTGTTGAAGAGAATGGATGGTGAATCTCTTAAAGAAATCTATGTTTTCTGCACATTTGCTGGCCGCTTCGATCAAGCAATGAGCATTATTCATACTCTTTATCTTTATCCAAAGCTAAATATATTTCTCATATCCGATCAAGATGTTACATTTCTACTTAAGCCTGGTCTTAATCGCGTTCATCAAATACGATCACCTCTTTGTGGTACATATTGCAGTTTGATTCCATTTGCCGGTGCTCTAAAAGTAATAACAAACGGCCTACAATGGAATCTTAATGAAAAGATGGAGCTCAATTATTCTAAGTTGATCAGTACCTCAAATGCTTATAGTGAACCAAAGAGTGACTTTGTCACTATCAATACTCCTGAACCGCTTGTCTGGTCAATGACATTTGCTGAAACAGTTCAAAATGAGCAAAAGAGCAGTTTAGCTCAATAATGTTATCTAGTTCTTTGTGTCGTTTTTTTTATTTTATTCCAGAATAATAAGATAAAATCGTTTATTGAGGAAATTACTTCTACAATAAACTATTCTCGTTAAGACCAATCTCTATGCGAAATTTCGAGTTGAAATGGGAAAGTAAGGTTTTCTGATACTTTTTAAGATTTAGAGTATTCATAGCACATATAAGTCTATAGAAGACACATGATCTCGACTCAACAGTGATAGAACCGCTGGTGGCCTTCCCTCGTCCATTTTCTATATTACTAATGTACAAAGAAGATTGAAAACAACCAACTGTGAAAAAACAAAGCGATGAAATTACTTCATTTACATCATGTTAGAAATTTTTGAATTGTCGTTCTACATTCAAAATATGTTCGATGTTTCTTCACGTAGTGATAGTTTTTTCTTCTTTTACTCAACACTCAACAAAATTGGAGAGAGAGAACCGATTAGTATGATTGTAGTATTTTGCATACGCAGTATTTTTTTTGCGTTCTGATCATTCTGAGACTGCTCTTTTTTTCATTTTTTTCAGAACTCATCGTGTGCCAGTCTTCGCTCTTGTTTTTTTCTCCAGTTAATTGCCTTCATAATAGAGTAATCGAATAGAGCCTCTCAATTAGTGATTTTAGTTGCTGTTGGTAACAGTGAAAGGATTGACTGTCTCCAATTGAACATTCTCTTGATATGATTGATACATAATTACAAGCAAAACCAGACTACCTCTCACAACTTTCTGTAAGTAACTCATGAGGTCTACACGTTTATATGTTTCTGATATGAATGGGTGTGGGTCTCTGGTTTGTTGGCTTGCATGCACATGTGGTTCTTGGTACCATTGTGGATGAAAAAAAACTGATGAGAACGATAGAATCAAATGGATACTTACCTAGACTTCCTCACAGCCAGATCCAAATCTACACCGCACACCAATATCAATGGTGACATAATTTTGAATGAAAGTTTTAGATACAGAGAAAGGCACCCATGGTGTGAAATGCAGATAGAACTCGGTCCTTTTATAGAATAAAGAAATGAAATTTCTCAGAAAACGACGGATGAATTAAATTAGAAAGCCCAAAGACGCATCGTAATGTAAGTATGCAATACACCAAAAATACTTGTATGTTGCAAATACTTTCGTAATGCTGATATAGGACTTTGTTGTGAAACAAAGTTGAAAAGTTCACGAAATAATGTACATATTTACCGAACTCTACTTCGATGCGTAAGTAAATGAAATTGCGATCATCTGATCTTCCAACTTTCGTTCTTTTCTTCGAGTATCGTGTGAAAAGCACACACTCGATGACGAGCGCCCGAGATTTTTGCTTCTTGATTTCGCCTTTTCCATAGGTGAGCGCGTTATCATGACTTTCAATGTTGAAAATGTAAGAATTTCATATTTGTGTTCTTGTCTTTCTATCAAACTATGACAAATAAACAGATGAGAGAAACAGAACTAGTTCACTTTTACCTTATTTTTCTTCCATATCATGTGATATATCAAGAAGAAGAATAAGATTGCATGCAAAAGACCTTCTAATTCTTCTTCTCTTTTTATTTTCCACATTAACTCTTATCGAATATGCCGAAATTCACTAGCAAGAAGCACTCACTACATACTGCTGGGTATGCATTCAGGACTTCGCGAGGCTCCAATTCGTGGTGACTTATCGACATGCAATATCAACGATCAACATTGTCCAATGTTGAGTGCACAAGCAAACGATTATAAAATTGTTTCCAGTAGACTCTTCTTGAAAGCTGCTTGTGTAACGATTGAAGTTTTCAATGCAACCATCACGCGACGTGTTAGGCTACTCAAACTAATTGGCCTGCTTTTAGTTGCCATGGTTCAAAATGAATCGTTTTTTTATATACACGAAGAAAAGTTAGCAAAATATGTAATTCACGGGTTACACAGCAAGAGGACAGAAAAAAAAGAGAAAAATATACTTCACGCACGTCAGCTCACTCCATATTTTGACGCACGTATTTACCAAGTCACGTTTTTCTCAATTGCATACTATTTTCTTCTCAACACACCTATGATAAGAACAAACTATGACTACGAACAAGAAGACCATTGTTTTCATCCTTGACTATCAATGTATTATTCCATCGATATAATCAAGTTATTTAGAACATTTCTATCAGGAACACAATCTTACATAAATTACATTTAATCATGATTTTTCACCTGAAGTATCTGTTGGAACATGGTACAAAAATTTTCTTCATATTCTTAACAGTCAGACAGAAGGAATTTAATTTTAGTGGGCAGTAGTCGAGGGGCTTGACTTGCTCTGCTACTTTTCAATCATGATGAACCAGATGGTATGCGAATTCAATCTTGAATAACTCGTATTCTTGGAATAGAAACATGTGTGAATAGTATGGACAATTGGTCAAATGAAATTGAGTACGAAGAGAATCGTATCAATCGAACATATGTCTATCGACGACCAAGCCTCTATTCGTCAACGGGCTACTACGATATTCCAGTTTCGATGTTACTCGACTCAAAAGAATATCTTCTTGCAATGGAGTCAGGATAAATATATGTTGAATGTTCACTGATCATGCTGCACGAGATGCACGATACGAATGTACCATATGAACGTGCAATCAGTGTGTTGAAACTATTTGATGTTCCTTTGGACAAAATCTGTAAACTAAGTCTTATTCACGATGGTGATCATCGTCTATTACGCCAAAAAAACTTGATTTTTATTGGTCATGCTCTTCTTGAATTAATTTCTTTCAGTTGAAAACAATTGCATTATATTGCATTAATCTCGGCTAAGAGATTTAAGTACAGTCTGCAGGAAAGGCAAAAAATAGCCTATTTCACCACTACAGTCGTGAAGAAAAATCAGATACCTGTTGAAGCTACATAGACTTGGATTGTTTTGCTTTCAATCATTGCTACTAATAAAGTTCAACAAATCTAGATCGTAAGTAACCAACTGAACTACCGGCAGAAATGTGCCTAGTTTATATATCAATCATTCACTCTACCTTCATATAAATACTTCTCGTCCATATTGGCACTTCTATCTTCACAGAAACCGATATTCGAAAGCTTGAAGTGTAAGCTATCACCAGTAAAAATTTAGTAAAAAAGTACGTAGATATGAATGCTTGCGCTGGAGGTTCGTTCATCGGATGTAGCCACGAATGAGTCAGAATTCGAGTTCGGACCAAGTGAGGAGTTACGCCCACAATTTCACAAAACGCCAACACGCACACACGCACCTATCAATATGAATACCTACAACTTCGCCTATGGCATGCAAAGCTTTTTCAACTTTTGTTTTATCAAGTAGCAAACTGAAAAATTATTCGTCATGGACATATTAAAATGACTCATTTCGAACCATCACTAATAAAAGTACACCACCTTGGTTTTGGTAATCGAACAAGGCATTTGATGGTTTCATTGAACACTTCAACCGTTAAACAGGCAGCTTCTAAACAAAGACTACTCAAAATAATGTCGTAGTCATTGCATTTTCCATTTAATATTGAACGATTGGGATTGTTAATATCACATGCCAACAAGTCACTTCGATTCCCGTTCAACGCGCTTTTCTTGTGGGTTTCCAGCAATAGTAAGACCACTTTCGAAAAATTTCGTTCAATCAAAAAACGCTCGGTTTTTGTTTAATCCAGTCGCTAACAATATTGAGATTGGATTATTCATAGTCACAAAATCGAGTTGAATCGACATATTAAGCGAGAAGAAATGACGGTCATAGGCTTAGTCCACCACCAAATTCGAGTGCTTTTCAATTGCCTAGACATGTTTGTTCATCATGCAAGATTTGAGTAGTGTTTTCGAGAGAAAAGCCGCAAATAAGGCTTCATTTGGATCAATATTATCACCAGAATGCACGTCTTTAACATAGGAATCCATATTGAAACGTGTATGGTAATCGCTAGTATGCAATAAGTGCTTTTCACTGTTGGATTCCGACATGATCCATGATAGATAACCTAAAGAATAAAAGCAGGGAGCCATTCAGCAACTTATACAACACAGGTCGAAAACGAACTGAACTATATAGCTTGGACTCGGTTTGAGTCGATCCGAACTGTTAATCTCAATAGGAAATATGTCTTTATCTTCAATCTTCACTAATTACCTAGGCTAAAGGACAAATAACTAGAGTTTCCACTATAAAGGAACGAGGAGACCCACATAAAATGTTTAGCTTAATTTACGTTCGTTATATATGGGAAAAGTTTATTGTTTTTACTTTTTTATGAATAAATAAAAAAAAAGAAAACATGTAATTGACACCAGCTGAATAGATAAGAATAGAAAAAGTCATGAGAATAATAACAATAAAGAGGCACAGGTTTTTTTCACAAAAAAAAAAGATAGAGAGAGAAATCAACAACAATAATGACGAAAACATCAAAGCGAAACATAAAAGAGTATGAAAAAAACTCTATTATAAGGAGATTGGGAAGGTTGACGTTATTGAATGACATTTATTTATGCTACCACGAATCAAGTGCATATTGATTCTCGAAAAACAAATCCAAACTTAATCGAATCCGAACTCAAATTCGTAAAACCTGGTTGGATTCAAACCCTGTGATACTCAGCTCTCGTCTTTGCATATGAAAATGGCTCTAAGAAAAGAAAAGAACGCAAAAACAAACTACTTTCATGTCTGCCTTCTGCCAGTGTGTTATACACCTGATAAAACAAAAATGAAAAGTACTCTATTAATATTCCTCCAATCAATTATGAGAAGAGAGCAGAATGATTCGACCATAATCATAAAATAAAATCATAGCAACAAGTATTTGCATAAGGCGCGTAATAAGCCACGTTTGAGTTTCGATCGGAAAAGAAAGATTTCCAACGTTCAGCTATCGTTATTTGTCACTTCCGCGACATTACTAACATGTTCTCTGTTTACAGTGCGCTTTATTGGTGAACCGACATGAGTCATACACTTAGAGAGTGGTAGAAGGAAACTAGGATGACGGTGGGTGCATGAGTGAAGAGTAGACTTTCACAATTACTTCCATCGCTTACCCTCAAAAGAATTATGGTATCGAATGTTTATTGAAGGAAATAGACATATTTTGGAAAAAAAATGTTTGTTTCTTAGTTTGATCCTAGATAGTATTAAATGGAATGACTCAATTATAAAAAAAAACATATCTAACCATATTATCAAAACATAGAAAAAGTCCAGGTGAAAGATTTCTTACTGTCAAGCTAAAAATTTATTTTGGAAAGAAAAGACAATGTCTACGTTAGCTTTGATGACATGTAAGTAACGATTAATGTACATCATAATTTTACATTTCAAGCCTTTTCTTTTCAAAGCTGTCTATCCCACTGATGGCTTTCGTGTGTCTACAGTGATGTGTATTGATATTCAAGATCGAACATCTCAGGTCAAGGGTGTTGACGCTGATAGTATCATTAATCGACATCTTGGCTGTGCCACCCATCAAGTGATTACGAGTGTTATCACTGATCAAAATCAAACTGACCAACTCTTGTCGACACTCTCGTCTCAATTTCATAACGTCGATCAATCATCGATCGATAGTGTCAAGATCGGCGTACTGCATAGTGTGAATAATGTCAAAGAAGTTCAAACGTTCCTTTATTCTATTGCTGACAAACAATGTCCCGTCGTTGTCGATTTAAGCAATACCAATCAATTCAACAATGAAGTGCTTCATGCAGTCAGCAATTCGATTTTGCCTCTGTCCTCTGTGCTTATCATAGATTACAATGTCGCTACTAGTCTCTTAGACAGTGATCAACAACCCATGGAAGATACAGCTCGTCTTCTACTCGAAATAGGTCCACAAGTCGTTGTTGTCCAAGAGGAGAAAAGGCGACGATGCGTTGCTATCAAAGACAACAATATATCGTTGAAAAAGCAATGCTTCTGGTTACCTGTGCATGAAAATGCATTGGATACAGGAGGTTTCTCCACAGCGATCGCTGCCTATCTAGCTCATGATCGGCTCCCGTTGTACTTCGCTATTGTATATGGTCATTTATACTCAACAGTCGAGGACCCCATCCGTTCCTCACTTCTTCACATCCCTTCACTCACTTTTACCCAAGAAGTTTGGTCATCAGTCAATGATATTTTCACTCAAATTCTGGAACTGCCGTTTCTCAATAAACTGCTCGATAGTACTTTAGACGAGCGTATTTACGATTATTATATCGTCCAAGATTATCTTTTTTGTCTTGATCGAGGATACATGCTCGAGAGTCTCGTCTACCATTGTTCGAACGACGAAGAAGCTCGTAAATTCATCAGTCTGCTGCTTGATAAAAACAACAAGTGGGCTCTAACGCTTCTCAGTGACAATAACTTGCCCCCACACGATGAGAAGACTACAGTAAAAATACCTGCCTGCGCTAATTACACGAAGCTCATGCGGGAATTAGCCTCATGCAATAGTGATTTAGGATGGGTAAAGGGTTTCATCGCTCTCTTGCCTTGTATTCTTGTCTACGCCAAAGTTGGTGATTGGATGATTGCAAGTGGTATGAAGCAGACAGTCAAACGCTATAGCGATTTTATCGATTATTTTCGTGATCAAGCGAGGCGAGATCGACTCATCTACTTTCTCGAACTGACGAATCGCGTGGTCAATGATTGTTTATATGAGCAAAGGAAAGAGCTGAAGCAACTCTTTCGACAAGTGTGCCAATATGAATACGCTTTTTGGGATGAATCCTACCACTATGGAATGAAGAAAGCGATAAAGTGATTCTCCAAACTGATAGTTGCTTACATACTAGCCATGAATTTGTATGATCCTAATTACGGCCGTTTTTTTTCTGTATATTTCTCGTATCTTTTTGTTTCTTTTCAATAACTCACCTCACATCATGAGAAATCATAAAGCCCATTCTACATTACGTGTGTCCTTCTGCTAGAGAAGTCATGAAATTTTCATGGTGATAGCAGAATGAAAGTACTTATGATAGATAAGCTCTTGCTGACTTACAATATTGATAAAGTGTGAGTAAGTTGATACGCATGCAGATTCTTTCCAACTTATTACGCTGAGGGACAGCAATGTCCTTTTGTGAGAGGTTTTATGTTACAGATGCAGCTTATCAACTCCATTTTGTTTAGTTCAAAAGAATACATACAAATCTGTCGATGTCTTAACTTTGCTCTTATTGCAGTACTTTCCGACTTAAATTTGGCTTTGAATTGTTGATTATGCTTTGAAACGAATTTTCTACTATACTCATCAGACCATTACTCTAAAATGAACAGAAGTTTCAAAATACGTATTTTTTATTAGTACTTGATGAGTATTTTGACTCGTACTTCTCAAGAAGGTCATCCTTTAAGAGTGAAATCATATAAATTTATAGAGTATGATTTGTTCTGCTTATACATATAAACTACATCTTCAACTCTCTCATAGCTACGAAAATTCTGGATTAATACGAAACGATGATATATTTTGGTCTTGATTATGATTCCGTCAACAGTCGACTCACCATATTTCGGCAGAGCAGAGGAGGAGCAATGCGTGCCAATATTTTGGTTTTTGATAAGATATTGACCAGCATTGATTCCAGAGAGAAAAATCATATGAAACTTCGATCCAAATGAGGCTTTAGTAAATATTCAACTGATCTTTATTTATCGAAGTTCATAGATTATCACACTTAAAGGATATGATTTTTCTCCTTCATTTATGACTAAGTAGAAACCAAAGAAACAGTTAGGATTTACTGGTAGTCGATTTTTTAAATTTTTGTTCTAATTTATCCAATACATTGACCGTCAAAATAGCCACAATTGCATACTGAACAAGATACACTTTCCATCCAACGTAAAATCGAGCGATTCCATCTTGTTTTACGGTTGTCTTGAAAATATCCACCATCGATTGGTTATTTTGAAAAAATTTTTGTTTTTGTGTTTTAACATAGTCAAATGGCATCATTGCACCTGTATTGACTAATCCGACAAGCATTCCTGCTACAAATAGATCGATAGGAGTCAAATTTTGTGATTGTTTATATTCGCGAAATTTCGTCTTGGTCAACTCATCAGTATATAGAAAAGTAACCCAGGAGACATTTTGACGAAAGAAAATGGCTGATGTACCTCGATAGAGTTCTCGGATGATATCTCGACCATCTGTTCGTTGTCGAAAGAATTCGAGCAGACCAAGACGTGTGGGACTCGTCATAAGCCAGACTTTAAGCCGTTCAAGAGGATTGATAACAAGAATTTCGAAGTTAGCTATGGAAAGTCCGGTAAGAATTTTTGGCAAACGAGGATAGTTTTGTTGAATGCGAGCAGATAGAACATGATCTCGATAGAAATTAGGAAAAAAAAGCATCATTGGCCAACGATATGTTTGTTTGACAGCACGTCGAGTCGTATTTGGAATCGCACCCGAGTAAAAACCGAGAAAACCTTTTGACATATATATTTCGCGAGTCACTTGAAGAACATTGTGAGACTGTGTTGGATTCGCTTGCCATCGTGTGCGAATAGTATCGAGCGGATGTTCAAGTGGAAGACCACCGATTGTTCGACTGACACCGACAATTGCTGAAATTAATAATTGAGAGGTGCGGTCCCATTGATCCATCGTTTAGACGATCAAGTAGAGAGAGAAAGACTCAAGGACAATAATGTGATGTGTGATTACTTTTTTTTATACAGAATGAAAAAGAAAAAGCAAAGCTGGAGACGATGAGGACGCAAAAAACAATCACATGTGCAAAAAATTACCCTATTATTGTTCTATTCTCTCTTTCTTTCTCTGCTTTCTTCGAGTATTGCATGAAGGAAGAAAAAAAGCTTGCTACAACATGATGAAATATCGAACACGTCTCGAAGGAGTTGAGAGAAGAAAAAAATTTTCTAACGTGACGTAAGTGCGATGATTTCATCAGTCTGTTTTTGCTTTTCTTTTGCTTACGACCTTCTTCCGTTGGCAGCATCAGCAAAAAAAAAACAAATTGTTTAGGTCGCTAATGTACCCCATTCGTCTTTGTAAAGAACAAAAATACCAAATCGAACTTGCTGTTCGAAATATTTCGTCACGATTTTTGTAAATTAAATCAAGCTGATTTTCGTAATTTTTATAAAAAAAAGTCGTCTACAAGAAACGTATAACGAGCTCAGTTACTTCTACGTTTTAGTTTTCATAATTTTAATAGTTTAATTTTCTTGTCTTAGAACTGTCACTTTTTCTTTATACACAATATTGTATTAGTATCCTGTAATAAAATAGAAAAAGAAATACTGAAACTGCTAACGGTTTTAGTGTACACTATAATTTTGATTTCTTTCGATGAATTTCATTAGCCAGACCCGTAAATCAGGTGTATTAATGGTGGCATAATTCATGGAAATCTACTTGTTACTAACTTGAAAACACCTAAGATTAGAATGATACTGCAGTACTTATAACATAGTGGTAATCGAATATGGTAGACCCGATTGAGATCAGTTCAGTAAATCTTGGAGACATTTGGTGGAATCAGTTAAATCTTGATCTTTTATTTTTAAAGTAGGAACTTAAAATTCTTTTGTGAGACTTCATACATTTTTGAAGGAGATAGTGAGTTGAGCTTCAAATTGAGGTTTCTGAAGTGTCTTCCCCTAGACTCTAGTAACCAGTTGATGATAAGCCAGAAAGATTCTTTCTGAGAGAATTGAATATTTTTACTGTTACAACCGTAAGATTTATTTTATCAAAAAAAGTCACTATTTCAGCCAATATAAATAGAAATGAGCTGAGATTTTTCTCATTTATACTTGTACTAATGTAGAACCTGTGCTCAAAAGCGCTCGAACACTTGTAAGTGTTCCCTTATTAGACGTACGATGTACCCGCTGTTATTTATATATTATAACGAGACGTTACTTATATGCCGTCTGTGATCGTATATTCATGTCTATCACAGATTAGTGTCAAATCGTTTTTCGACCGAGAAAATGTTCATTTGATGAGTATTAGGAAAATTTAGAATGGTTTGATTTTTCGGCTCTTCTTTCTTGAGATATCGAAATTTTTCTGGATCTTTCGTCCGCCTTACGTCATGTGAAAAGTCGTCTTTAGATATTTAATATTCTCCATTGTGTCATGTGTAAAAACAAATTTTGTTTATTTACATCTTCAGAAAAGATATATTAGAACAACTAAAACCTTCACAATCAATTAATTTTATTAAGAAATTTGTTCATGCAGAGTTGGAGAAAAACTCAGTAAAAATTTCAAATGCTTCAAGAGCCAAGGCTGAAAAAATCAAACTATTCTAGATTTTTCTAGTATTCATTCAGTGAAAATCGTCTCGATCAAAAAACAATTTCAAACGTGAAGAGATTAACTCATGAAATCAGTTTTATTACTTTTTTTTTTGATTACATATTAAATATATTATTCTGCGTTATATATAGTATTCAATAGCTAATTTAAGATTTGCTAAACTAATTGCAACATTGCACGAAATCTTATATGATATATTGTTTGTGATGGTGACTACTTTAAACTTGTTTTCATATGATTTATTTCATCAAAGTTCGTTAGTTGCTATGTTTACATTTGAATCAAAATTTTTATAATTGATAAACTTCATTGATATCGAGCATTTACTATCCAAAATACATTTGTTTGTTTGTTTGTTTGGAGATAATGCATATGTTGAAAACATTTCGAATGATTTGTCCAATTTAATAGGAGAAAAAACTGTAATAATAATCTCTCTCATAGACAACTAGATTAACATCATAGTTTCAATCACGAATGAACAATATATAGACAAGCCAAAAGAAACAAACAAAAAAAAAATGAGACAAAATTCAATTTTACAAAACATAGAAGGAGAAGAAGAAGAAGAAAAAAACAAAAAAAAAAATAATTGTATGTCCGAACGAAAAAAGAATAATCAAAATTAAACAACTTTATAACGACCACGATTGACAAGTTGTAAAGCTGGATTTTGCTATAAAGAAAAAAAAACAAGAGAATCATGATTTTTAATAAAAATAAAAATTATAAATATATATGTATTTATTAAACTTACCATTTTCATCATTTCTTCTTTTATTAATCGAGCAACTTCTGCTTTAGCTAATTGAAGACCACGTTCAGTTAATGATTCAATTTGTAAATAAAGTTTTCTATCACCCGGTGCAACTTCTTTATTATTTGGATAATATTGACCACGTACAGACATACCAACATCAGCATAATCACAAATATGTGCTAATGTTTCCTATAATGAAAAAAAATATTCAATAAAATTTTCTTTTCAATTATATTATTTTTACTTTGCTTGTAACTTTCCATCGTGCATTTTGTGGAAAATCATTTATTTCTAATTCTTCTTCAAATATTTTGAATGCATCTTCTGTAACTTGTATTTCTTCTTCTGGTTTTTGATAATTTAATTTTTGATTTAATTCACCAGCTCGTTGTTGTGCTACAATACGACTCTAAAATAACAAACAAACAAAATATTGTACAAAAAATTTCTCAAAATACTTACGGATACAGTTGGATTTAATGTACCACCACGTTGAAATAATGAAGTTGTTGCTTCTTGTATAGAATCTCGAGTTTCGGATTTAGTAAATGTAAGCCTACAAACAAAAAAACAAATAGAAGATTCAACATTCTTTATTGATTTATAGTTCAATGCATTTGTATGAAGAAAATTCTTATAACTCTTGAATGAAACAAGTTAGCAATGCCGACCTTGTGTAGATCGTCAGAGAATATATTTTTCTATCAATGAATCATTTTAAATTTCATTAAAATTCTCTAACTACCAAAAAATCGAATAAATTCTTCTACTATTCAAATAAAACAATATTTACCGAGCAGCTGCTTTCTTGGCTAATTCTAATTTCGATGCTGTATCATTCACAGTAGTAACACCACTGGCTTCATCATTTTGAGTAGTTGGTGCATTTGGTAAGACTGGTGCATCACCTTTAGCTTTAATCGATTTTTTACTTTTAAATAATGATTGAATTTGTTGATCGATCTAATACAAATATAAATAAATATTTACAAAGAAAATTCCAAAAAAAATCTTGTACATACATCTTGACTTTCTTCATCTTCATCTGAATCACCTAAACCCATAACAACTTTTTGCATTTTTTTTTGTTCATCTTTTAATTGTGTTTCTGATGAATCAAATTTATAACCATGTCCACTAAAACCACCACCAGTTTTAACTTTTTTACCCATAGCTTCCATTTTTTTAACATAACCATCCCATAATAAATTTAATTCTTCTGGTATAGGTGTATTAGATGTTTCTAATGCACGTATTATATCACCAGCATAACGTTCTTGTGCTGGTGTTAGAAATGTATAAGCATAACCAATATTTCCTGCTCGACCTGTTCGTCCACAACGATGTACATAATCTTCATAATGATTTGGACAATCATAATTAACAACAAGAATTAAATCTTTAACATCTAAACCACGTGCAGCAACAGATGTTGCTATCATTAATGGCATATCACCACTTTTAAAATCAACTATGGTTGAATCACGATCATATTGATCAATACCACCATGTAATGACATACATGGATAAGAATTTCTCAATAAATTTTTCATTAATTCATCACAATGTTCTTGTTTATCAACAAATACAATAACTGAACCTTGTGGTTGATATATACCAAGTAATTCAAGTAATTTTAAATATTTTTGATCATCATCAAGAATAAGCTTATGAAATTAAAAAAACAAAAAAAAGATTTCAATGGTTTTTATTTTATTTTATTTTTAATATTTACCACATTTTGTATAACATCTTTACAAACAATACTTCGTCCACCAACAGTAACTTCAATTGGTTTATAAAGAGTTTTACGTGCTAATGCTTCCATTTGTTTAGGAAATGTTGCTGAAAACATAACTGTTTGACGATCAGGTCGAATACTATCAAGAATTTTTGTCACCTAGTAAAAAAGAAAACAAGAATATTTGTTGTATGTATGTGATAGTCATTCTGAAAGTTAATATCAGGCAGCCATTTTTAAGAAAATAGTTGAGTTTTATACAAATACATAAAAAGGTTTTTACTTCCAGAAATCTAAATCTAAAACCATCGTTTTATCCCTAAACTGCATCGATCAATTATCAATAAAACGACTTTTTATTAGTTAATAAATTGAAGTAGAAATAATTAAAAAGAGAGAATTTTCGGCACTAGGGGCATGACTTAAGGATGATGCCTTTTCTGCTTTTCAAAGTTTGATTGCCATCCGTGTCAATAATATATTAACTTAAAAAAGAATTTTGAAAATATTATTACAAAAGGCAGAATTAATTCTCCGTAATTGCTAAAACCTTCAACATGTAAAGAAAACGTCATCTTTCTATCCTATGATAAAGTAGTAGCAGACTTAATTCATTCATACCTGTGGTTCAAAACCCATATCAAACATTCGATCTGCTTCATCGACAACTACATAAGTGACTCGTCGAACATTTGTTACTTTACCTAAAACATATTAAATACATAAAAAATTAAACTAGAAATTTTTCTACATACCTCCATTAGCAGCTAACATATCAATCATACGTCCAGGTGTACATACAATAATTTCTGC